ATGACAAAATAAGTGTAGGACATGATAATATCTTAACTTCTGAGCCAGTTGTATTGTATAAACAAGACCTCTAATAAACTCATGTAATCTCTAAGAACAAAATCTAAAAATCAATTCACCAAATTTCAGGGTGGATGCACTACGCCTCCGTAGGGATCGAGTGCATCCCATTATTTTAGAAAAATAGTTAAATTTAGTTTAATGTGTTAATAAAAAAGGAAAAAAAATTGCATACTCATTACTTTTAAAGGAAAAAATTAAAATTTTAGACTCTGCTCTCAAATTTTTGAATCCATCATTGTCAGATTTATTTAACCTAATAGCTTACGATTATTCATAATGATTTTATATATGACTTCAACTAGAATTACTATAAATACATTTTAGCCGCTATCCGAAAAAATGAATTACCTCTACTCTCTTATTTTCACTCGTGTGTCATTTTAATCTTTTACATTAAAAGATATCAATCAACTAACAATAGGATGGATTTATTCTTATCAATAAATTTAAATGTGAACACAAAATGGGTTTAACTATTTCATTTTGAAAGATTAATCTAAACTATGCCAAAGTGTGTTGATTATAAAGAATTGAAACAAGCTGTGTGACCAGATGAGCCCACTTGTTTCAACATGAAAACAAGAAATAGAAGATGGAGATGGAGATGTTGATAACTCCAAAAATATATTCCTAAACCTTCTCAATTTGATTTGATTGATTTGTTTGGCTACAAGATTAATCGATCAAATTATTAATTTAGGTTTTAAATTTAAATAATTATTTTTATTACACTTTATTATTTTAATATATATTATCCCAAATTTAAAATTTTAAAAACGTATACTCCTCGCTACAATATTGCTTATCAATGATTTTTGGGTAAATTATTCAGTTGACCACTTAACTATTTCCCTTTTACTTTCATCGTCGAACTTTTAATTTTATCAATCACACCACATGACTATTTAATTGTTTCAATCAAGCTATTAGCCGTTAACCTTTGGCGGAAATGATGATGTGGCAGTTAAAAGCCACTACTCAGTTGACCATTTAACTATTTAATTGTTTCAATCAAGCTACATAACTATAATTATGTCAACTCATTTTAATTGTCACGTTATTATTTTCGTCAACGGTTAATGATTAGTGACTTTATTGAAACAATTAAATTGTTATGTGATGTGATTGACAAAATTAAAAGATCGATGACGAAAATAAAATGGCTAAATAGTTAAGTGGTCAACTGAGTAGTTTACCCATTATTTTTAAGTATTTATCGATTTATTTATTATTAAATATTATTTTTATAATTTTATTAATAAAAATATTAATATTGGTATATTTTTAGTGAAATAAAAATATTATAAATTATATTAATTATTTATTAAAGTAATAGTGTCATATTATATTTTAAAAATATTAATTAGTATATTTTAAATATATTTATTAAAATATTATTATATTATTATATTAATATTAAATATATAAATAAATTATTCATTATTAAATATATAAAAAATTATTATATTTTATTAAAAATAATAATATCTTATATTATAATATAATTAATTATTTTATTATAATATTAAAAATATTATATTATATTATATTATTATAAAATTAATAATATATTTTTAATATTTTAATAATTAATATTTTGATGAAAATGATATTAAAATATTTTATTAATATTAAATTCATAAAATAAAATTATTTTGAGTATTTATTCTTTGAAGTAAAAAGTTCGAAAAATGACTTACGGAAAATCAGACCGTAAGTCATTTTCCAGAAAACACAAAGGAAATTATGTTGATCAGGAAAATGAATTACGTTGACCAACCAGTTTTCCTCCAAACAAATACTGTAAAACATTTTACGGAAAACGAATTACTTGAAACAAACACGGAAAACATTTTCCGAAAAACGAATTACATGAAACAAACACGGGATTTCGGGAAAAACCAATTATGTAATTCATTTCACGGCAAACAAACAGACCCTTACATAAAATTAAGTTTTTATCTTTTCAATTTTTAGATAAAACCATTATAGATTTATATTATTTTAAATTTAAATATTTTTCTTTTTAAAATTGAATCCTAATTCTATTATTTTTTTATATAAATAACTAATTTTATTCAAAATATAAAATATTCCAAATTACAATAAAATTGTACAATCACAACAGTAAATTAAGCACATAATTAGAAAAATTTTCTATAATAATTGAAATAAAATTAAAAACTTAAGATCACAAAAATGAGTCAATTAGTCGTGACAATGTCAAATTAATTCTTTGAAAAAAAATATAAATGAAAAAAGGTCACGAAACTGAAAACATGAAAAAAAAAGCATAAGAAATGCGTTATAAAAGCATAAAAAATGTGCAACACATGCATATTTATTGAAAATAAAAAATAAAAGAAAATAAAGATGTACTATAGAAAAGAAGAAAACAATAAAGAATATCAACAATCAACCAATATTAAAATTAGTGTAGCTGTCGATTAATAAAGATAGAAAAAATATAATTTTAGTGTTAATTAGCAACTAAACTCAAATTTTATATAAATTAAAAGAATAGTTTTAATTAAATTAGTCAAAAATATCCATATATATATATATATATACACAACTAATCTAAAACGGAAATCAAATAGATAATGGTTTTCTATTTATCGAATAAATCAAATTGGCAATAATTTGGGGAAATGGTGGGGGCAGGGCCATGTACCCCTTCTAAAGTCCAAACTCAAGACCTTGTCTTTAGCAAGCCGCCCCTCTGCTACCATTTGTTTATTTTTTGAAAAGTGTCGTTTAATTTGATTTCGATTTGTCGTTTTGTTTCAAGTTGTCTGTTGTTCCATATTTACGGCATATTATGGTGCGTGCACCTGCCTTCTTCACCTTTTACCCACCCTTTTTTTAAAATTATTACTTTCTTGAATTCGCGGTAAATTTTGTGGGAAGTTTCTAGTGTGATAACTAGTCTTTTCTCTTCCCCAATATGTCCCTCCCGTTTTTCACTTGATGTAATATTTTAATTTTTATAATTTAGTTAAAGTTTTAAATTTATTACATGATATTATGAGTAAAATAAAAATATTTATAAAAAATATTATGTAACAAATTAGAGACAAATATTTTTCATTATTTTTAATATGAAAATGATACCAAAGCATACACCAGACTTTTTCACGCGATTAATGGGTGATTTTCTCGAAAAATCACTTCTTGATTAAATATTTAAGTGTTAGACATCGTTAGAGAAAATATTACGGATCTAAAAACATTTACAGAAAGGCGTCGCCCAGGCACTGCGTCTTACGTTGATGTGGCGCCACGTCGGATAAGACACGGCTCAAGTACCGTGCTGTAAAGACTGGATACTAGTTTCGTAATTTTTTTAAAAATAGTGTCTAATATGTAATTAATTTCTGTTAGAGTGATTTTTGTATAAAAACATCAATTTTTTTAATTTATATTTTGTGTGTGAAAAAAAAAACTTTCTGCATTAAAATCTTTAAATCTGTTTTTGTAAATTATTTTATAACTCGACAAATTTTGATTTTTGTATGAAAATTTTATTGATTTTTAAAATTAATTATTTAAAATATAAAAAATATTAAAATAAACTTTTAATTACAATTGAGGGATCAAATGAATTATTCGTCATTACTTATTATTTTTAACAATAGTTAATAATGTTTATTCATTTTAAAAAAAATTAGAATTTAATATTTATTTTATATTTTTTAAAATTAATATTAGAAAGAATATTTTAAATATATTTTTTAGTTTTACCCTCTTTTTTTCTTATTGAATTTTATTAACTTTTAATTCTTTTTTATTGTATTTTTATTGAATTTTAAATATATGAGTTATAATTTAAATTAATCATTTATTTTGTTATTATTCAAATTAATTAAGAAAAATTATGGTAAAATGTTTCCAAAAGAAAATTATAAATACATACATGAAAATCTAAAGATTTTCATTTCTTTTGTGTTACTCACTAAACTTGTAACAAAATTCAATAAAAAAGAATGTAAAGCTAAAAAATATCACCTATATATTTAAAAAATTATTTCTAATATTAATTTTAAAAAATATAAAATAAATATAAAATTCTAATTTTATTATAAATGAATAAACATTATTAACTGTTGTTAAAAATAATAATTAATGACTAATAATTCATTTGATCCCTCAATTGTAATTAAAAGTTTATTTTAATATTTTTTATATTTTAAACAATTAATTTTAAAAGTCAATAAATTTTTCAAAAATATATAAAATTTACAACTTTTTAAATTATAAAATGTTTCTTATCATCGTCATCATTTTATAAAAGAAATATTAGTTATAAAACTTTTATATAATTATTCATATTTTAAATTATTTATCCTCAAAGTTTTTTTATATTAGATTATACGTATTGTGTTATTTCATGCAAAAATAAAAAAAGTTAATGCATAAAGATTTTCTCACATAAAAAAAGGGCAACATTTTTACACAAATAACACCTAACTTAAATTAATTACATATTATATATTATTTTTTTTAAAATACGAAACAAACACTTAATCTTTTGAGAAATCACCCAATTAATGAGGGTCGTAGTACTTTTACAAACGATGTATAATATGTAAATATTTAATAAAAAGGTTATTTTCTTTAACAAATGGCCCAATTAATGAGGACGGTATATATCTTAGTCGGATGAAATAGAAATCAACGAGATATAAAAGTTACGTCATTCGTACAAATTATAACACGTTCGAAATCATTAAATCAAACAAATTCAAGACCCTCAAAGATTATTTAAAATTCGATTTCATTTACAATATTAAAATTCAAACCATTAATAATTGTCGTAAAAGTAATTTCATTGATCAAACAAGGGTGAAAAGGTAAATACAACTTTTCATCATTTCCTCCGCAAGAACTATAAAATGCACATTATTAGCCCACTAAACCCTCAAAAAAACATCTCATTTCCTTTCACCAACCAAAAACCAAAACTTGAAGGAATCGTTTTATCGTCTTGTTAGCAATTCTCTGTAAAGTCTTTTTTTTTCTTTGACTGAAGTTTATCTGAACAAACACCACCATGTGTGGGGGTGCTATCATCTCCGATTTCATAGCGCCGCCGGAGCGTTCGTCGCGACGCTTGACGCCCGACTTCTTGTGGCCTGATCTGAAGAAATCCGAGTTTAAGAAGGGTTACGGTAAAAGGTACTCAAAGCCGGTGATCGATTTGGATGATGATTTCGAGACTGACTTCCAGGAATTTAAGGACGAAGAATCTGATGTAGATGACCATGATGTCAAGCCATTTGCTTTCTCTGCTTCAAAGAAATCATCTTCTGATGCCTCACATGGTAAATTACTTGGTTTTAGCTGAAATTTCGTTAAAAGCTTGTGTTCTTCTAGATATTTCGCAGGCTATATATTTCTTTATTTCCTGCTGCAGTGCTTTGCTTCATTTGTTAAGAAGTTAATTTCCCCCCTTTTCCATTTTTTTTTATTTTAAGCTGAAAATATAACATGAAAAAGAAAATTGCAGAAGCTAGATTGTGAAATCTTAGCAATTTAGAACTTCTTCAACTTGAGTAAACAAAGGTCTGTCTGGAATAATACTGAGATTTTCGGCAAACACAACTATTCATTTCGTTGTTAGTCTCCTGAGATTGGTATATTCCCTTTTGTATATTGCTGTTTGAGATCTTGTTTCGTCGTCCATCTGCAGTAGGAAAAATCAAGTTTACTTGATTGATTTGGAACAAATTCAATTCGATAATATTAACGCATGGAGTGATGATTTCTGGGTGTAATAACTAGATATGTATATCTGATGATTAATGTTTTGAATTCTGTTTCCTTGTGAAAGTTTTGTTGTGATTTGTATTTGGTTGATTCTTTAAACTTTCTTTTTCCAATTATTGCAGGTTCGTACTCCGGAAATGCCGCCCAATTCAACGGTCAAGATGAGAAATGCGCGAAAAGAAAGAGGAAGAGTCAGTATCGCGGGATTCGGCAGCGTCCATGGGGTAAATGGGCTGCTGAAATCAGAGACCCGGGGAAAGGGGTTAGGGTCTGGTTAGGAACTTTCAATACTGCCGAAGAAGCCGCAAGAGCTTACGATGCTGAGGCTCGGAGAATCCGTGGAAAGAAAGCTAAGGTGAACTTCCCTGACGAGACTCCTCGTGTCTCTCCGAAGCGCGCAGCTAAGACAAATTCTCAGAAACCAGTCTCCAAGTCAAACTTGAACCCTGTCCAGCCAAATCTGAACCAGAATTTCAATTGCATGAACAACCCCGGGCAGGAATACTTTGATACCATGAGCTTCGTAGAAGAGAAGCCGCTGATGAATCAATTTGCATACGTGCACCCGGTTCCTATGTCTGTAGATGCTGGATTTAAACCGTTTAATCCATCTGACAATACCCCAGTGTATTTCAACTCCGATCAGGGGAGTAACTCCATCTATTGTTCTGATTATAGCTGGGGAGAACAGGGTTCACAAACTCCCGAGATATCGTCCATTCTCGAAGCTTCCATAGAGAGTGATGAGTTCCTGGAGGATGCAAACCCTAATAAGAAGATGAAACCAAGTTCCGATGATGACATTCCTACAGAAGAAAATTCGCGAAAGAGTTTATCCGATGAGCTATTGTCTTTGGGCAATCAGATGAAGTTCTTCCAAATGCCGCCGTTCCTCGACGGGAACTGGGATGCCTCGATGGATGCATTACTCAACGGAATTGAAACACAGGACGGCTCAAGCCCGATGGATCTCTGGAGCTTCGATGACTTCCCATCCATGCTAGGGGCCGCTTTCTGAGCAAAAACTTCACCCAACTTGCTAGTTTTTGTAAATAAAGCAACGTGTGAGTGGGTTTCACAAAAGCAAACATTAATTTCGTTTTTGCTTGAACAAGATGTTTTATTTACATCTTTTGGTTGTTTTACTTTGTCTCAGGAATTTGGTCATAAATGTGTGAAGCCCAAATAAAAGCCTTGTGTGCAGTGCTTTCTGAGGTTTCTTTTACTATGCTTTATCATTAATGTTAAATTTTAACGACTACAAGTAGTTTATGTGTGTGATATAATGACCAGAACATATGAATGTTTTAATCTTTGATCAGTGTTTCCCTTTACTTTCAGAGATCTTAGTTTTTGTTTGGATGGATGGAAAATACGTCTGGTCAATTTTAAATTGATGTAATCGACTAAATTCTTAATCATGGAAGAGGCCAGTTCCATCTTATAAAATTTGGACATGATATGTCGTGGTGTGGCAGAGGCACGTGAAGTCATATGGGCTAGCAATGCAATGTGCGGTTGCATTGGACTTTGTTCACTATGGAACTATAAATAGGATTTTCCCAGTCTGCTGCTCTGTTTTCTAGCTTGCAAGTGACGAGCATTGGACCTTCAATTATTTGATATTTTTTATATTATAAATTTGTATAAACAAATCAATTTTTTTTTGATATTATTGATTTTATAAAAAAATATTATAAAATGAACCCAGCAGCTAAAAAGTTTTACCCTTATTTTCGCTGAGTTGGATGTCACGTGTGGAAGGCACATCCCCGGGGACGCGCCTTCACTGACTCGATTGCCACGTGTGGAAAGCTTATATCCGGAGACGCCCCTTCCATTAAATGTCATAAATACCCCCATCCGTTTTCCCTAACTACCCCCCTTCTCCCCTATATAAATCCCCTCAACCCTCCCTCATTCTTCACACCAAAATCATATTCCCCTCTCTTATATAACTCAAATTCTCCAACAATTTGAGTTTTAAATTTGTTATTAGTGGTAAGAAATTTATTTTTATGTTAATTTTTTAAATAGTTATTATATTTTATATTAATATATTTATGTAAATATTATTATTTTTTTATTAAAATAATATTTATATAATTATTATTTATTTAGAATTATTAATTTTTTTGTGCGCTAATTATATTGTTTTGTCTACAGTTATAATGGAAAATGAAATACTGTTGTATCTCCAGATATTTTAGCGATATGGTAATATTTTTTATAATTAATGTTAATATTTAAATTTATTTTTATTTTAAAGTTATTATGAATTTATATTAATTTTTATTTTTTATAATGTATATTATTTAGGATACTGATCGTATTTTGGAGATTTTTATTAAAAATTCACGTATACCGACACCGGAACGTATTTTGCCATATTTGGCTTCTTCCGGGTTCGGGTATATTGCAACAATTATTGGCGGTTGCAAACTCGAACCTGTCCTAATTTCTGCACTGATTGAGAGGTGGAGGCCCGAGACACACACTTTTCTCCTTCCATGTGGAGAGGCCACAATTACATTGGAGGATGTCTCTATGCATCTGGGGCTTCCCGTCGACGGAAATATGATGTGTGGTATGGCGGATGGTAATTGGCAATCAATGTGCATTAATTATCTTGGAGCTGCTCCGCCAGAGTTTAATGGAGGTAGAATAGCTTTATCTTGGTTGAAAGTTAATTTTGAGGTTTTAAATGAAAATGCTTCAGATGATCAAGCAAAAGCATGTGCTCGGGCATATATTCTACGAATAATTGGAGGAATATTGATGCCCGACAAATCTCGCAACCAGGTGCATTGTATGTGGTTGCAGCATATGATCGATTTTGATGAAACTGGAAGATATAGTTGTGGCGCTGCAGTTTTGGCATTTCTCTTTAGAGAAATGTGTCGGGCGACGAATTATAAGAAAACTGCTATCGGTGGATGTCTTCTGCTTCTACAATCATGGGCGTGGTTCCACATTCATTTCTTATGCCCGATTGTGAATGAACCATACGTATTCCCCTTATTGTTGAGGTAATTTTCGAACTAAATTTTGATTTAAATATTTTCAATTAAATAGGGTGATATTTAGTTTATATTATATTTCATAGGTGGTCGATGAAAACAAATGACCATAAAAGTATACCTACTGGGTTAGAGGAAATTCGTTTACTTATTAATACGAAAGCTGGGTCTGAGGTATGTTTTTAAATTTGTTTAATTATTAATATTTTAATTTAAAATGCTAGATATAATTAGAATATTTTTATTTATTTGAATTGTATATTTATAATTTCAGTTTCAGTGGAGACCTTATGCGAGCGATGAAGTGAAAGCTTGCATCCCACCCCACCTTAGTGGGTCATTAGAGGTATGGATATCGGTTATACCTCTTATATGTTATGCTATTATTGAGTGGCATCCAGTTGATCGCGTGCTCCGTCAGTATGGTTGTACGCAATATATTCCTGGAGCACCTAGGAATTTAGACGACGTGCATAACATAGATAGACGAGGAAAGAAATATGTTAACTGGGTGGTGAGACACAGAGATTGGATTGCGCTTTGGGAGAACCAATATACACTGTTGGCCCCTCGACAATATTACGCTGAAACTGGTCATATGGTTACGGATAACTATATAGACTGATTTAATGAAAATGGGAAGCCGTTTCTACTTTCGGCGGAAGCACGAGGGGTTAACATTCCTAGACGCCGAGAAAGACGTCAACCGTCTCAATATCATCGTCCCCCGACGCGTGGACGGAGAGAAGGCGCTACCGGTTCTGCATCAGTCCCACCACAACATCCTTATCCGTCGATGCCGCAGGGGTACATGCCCAGCCCTCCACTTCATATGCCAAGCCCACCAGTTTATATGTCATCTCCGCAGGGTTACATTCCGAGCCCACAGGGTTATATTCCTAGCCCGCCAGGTTACATGCCTAGCCCGCAGGGTTTTATACCATATGGAGGTGCATATACGACTATGTTTAATGATCCAGCATATGGTTCATATGCATCTTATTTGGCTGGTGGTGCTTCTCCGCAGACACCTCAATCTCCATCTGGATCACAGACATCGATGCCAATGTTTCCACAGTTTTCACAGTTCCTGGGGAGCGGTGGGATTGCTACTAGCACTCCTCCAGGGTCGTTATTTTATATAGGCCCTTCAGCCCCTTCAGCGTCATCTACACCAAATGAAGAAAATGTTGTTGATGATGATAGTGAAGATGAGGAGACTGAAGAACAAGTTCCACGAAGAAATCCTCCACGAAATAGACAACCACCGCCATGTGGAACTCATTCGAGAAGACGACATCTGTGATCCAGTTGTATTTTAATGTTATTTAAATAGTTATATTTCAGAATTTTATGTAATTTGGTTATGTTATTTAAATGTTTCATGGTTGTTACATACATATTTTTAATGTTATTTTTTATTCACATTTAACATTAAATGTTTAATAAATGTTTTTAAAATACAAATTATATTATTCAAAATTTAAAATAAAAATAATATTATTCGAAATTTAAAATTAAAATATAAATTATAGTATTCGAAATTTAACATTAAATTTCAACTTAATATTCCAATTGTATTCGAAATTAAAAGTTATATTCCAATTATAGTTCACAATACTTAAATTGAAATTAAATTTATCCATACATATGATTTTATCATTAACATATATATTAAAACGTATACATTAAAATCAACTTATCACTTCACATTTATTCATAAAAACATCTCGATGCTCATTCCATACAATTTCAATGTCACAATCAACTTATCACTTAACATTTATTCAATTTATCCATAACATTTTATCTAATTTATTCAAACTTCACATAACGTTTTAATTTAAGTTATTCTTAACTTGCTGAACTTTCAAAAGAAGTTAAATTTTGGTTATAATTTACCTGATTTCACAATCCATCTAGTGTCCCCGAGGGACATGAGTGACATAATAGGGCAATGATAACATATTCTCTGACAAAATAATGGAAGGCGCCCCCCGGGAACGTGCCTTCAAGTCCCCTGAGAAATAATAGGTACTGATATATCTAGTGTCCCCGAGGGACATGAGTGATATAATAGGGCAACGATAACATATTCTCTGTAAAATAATGGAAGGCGCGCCCCTGGGAACGCGCCTTCAAGTCCCCTGAGAAATAATAGGTACTGATATGAATAGTGTCCCCGAGGGACATGAGTGACATAATAGGGCAATGATAACATATTCTCTGAAAAAATAATGGAAGGCGCGCCCCCGGGAACGCGCCTTCAAGTCCCATGAGAAATAATAGGTACTGATATGAATAGTGTCCCTGAGGGACATGAGTGACATAATAGGGCAATGGTAACATATTCTCTGACAAAATAATTGAAGGCGCGCCCCCGGGAACGCGCCTTCAAGTCCCTGAGAAATAATAGGTACTGATATGAATAGTGTCCCCAAGGGACATGAGTGACATAATAGGGCAATGATAACATATTCTCTGACAAAATAATGGAAGGCGCGCCCCCAGGAACGCGCCTATAAGTCCCCTGAGAAATAATAGGTACTGATATATCTAGTGTCCCCGAGGGACATGAGTGACATAATAGGGCAATGATAACATATTCTCTGACAAAATAATGGAAGGCGCGCCCCCGGGAACGTGCCTTCAAGTCCCCTGAGAAGTAATAGGTACTGATATGAATAGTGTCCCCGAGGGACATGAGTGACATAATAGGGCAATGATAACATATTCTCTGACAAAATAATGGAAGGCGCGCCCCCGGGAATGCGCTTTCAAGTCCCCTGAGAAATAATAGGTACTGATATGAATAGTATCCCCGAGGGACATGAGTGACATAATAGGGCAATGATAACATATTCTCTGACAAAATAATAGAAGACGCCCCCCCGGGAACGCACCTTCAAGTCCCCTGAGAAATAATAAGTACTGATATGAATAGTGTCCCCGAGGGACATGAGTGACATAATAGGGCAATGATAACATATTCTCTGACAAAATAATGGAAGGCGCCCCCCCGGGAACGCGCCTTAATGTGAATAGTACTCCGATTATAGACACTATTATATGCAACATATTATAAACTTTCAAAACAAACTTCAGTTCACAAGCTTTCAAATTCTCAAATTCCCAAACTCTAAATTCTCAAATTCTCTGAAAATGAGTCATCTTTCTGCTGTTGTTTTGTATGATGGAGAAATTAAGGAAGCTAAAGAGGGGGTTGTTTTTGAGTCAGATCATTATATCCCCTTAACCTTGAAGAGAAACATCACAATTGAGGAGTTAATCACAAAAAATTCGTTAAAGATTCGTGTAGCAGGCCAGAGAAGACTATCTTCATTACAGTACAAATTTCCTACTGAACTTTTTTCGCTCACGTATACATCATTTCAGCTTTCAAACGATGATGATGTTTCTATGATGGTTGATGCT